TTTACGAGAAGCACTTTATTCCCTCCCCCTCACTGATCACAAATGGAATCACCTCTTTCGGCAGCGAGATGCAGTCACTCTGGGAAGATGCCGCAGTGACCATGGTCGCGGCCGGTTCCTCTCGGGAGACGGGACACGGCTCCTCGCAACACCCAGGAGCCCCCCAGGCTGCCTGCCTGTGTGCAGAGGCAGGACACGCCCGTGGAGCGTTTCCAGGACTGCATTTTAGATACAGTGAAATGTACATGAATTTGGCTTTTGCTAGAGAGTCTGTGTGCGGTTTTTTAAGGTCCTTTTTCCCTTTCCATTTGCAAGGTAAGAGCTTCTATTCCGTGTGCAGGGAAAGCAGCTCACAGACGCCATTAAAACCAGCTTCATCTTTCCTTCAGGATCATCCTTTTGTACTTGATGCTGGACGCTCTTGGAGAAAAAGCTTAAACATTTCACCAGAAATCTTAATTGAGCAGCGGTCATATCGCCATAGCTTTGTGAGTACACAGCTAACAGATGCGTCGAGGCCTGAGATGTGCTCGTTTTTATTCTTCCTCTCCCAGATTGGCTCCAGCAGAAAAGCCCCCCGTGCACAGCCAGCTCTTGTGCCGGCACTACTTGAAAACACGGCCACTTTCTAAGCTACAAACAATGAGAAAATAACTCGAAAAGATGGCAGAGGCAAATCCACAGAACGGGGGACTGCCCTCCACACGCGCCCGTCACCCACACGTCGAGCACACACCAGGAAGAGCACCAGCTTGGATGGCCGTCACCTCAGACATCACTCCAGGAAGCACCCGCAGGAGCTGGGCCCCCCACGCCTGCCTTCCTGGGCCAGCTTCCTGCTTGTAGTCACTCGCTTAGCACAGAGGCGGGGCTTCCAGCAGGGAGCAGAGATTCCTCATAGGTGAGTCCAAATGACCTCCAGCCTCTCGAAGGCATCAAGACAAATTGAAAGAAAGCAATAACTCACCAAAGCTCAACGCTGCCCCTGCCCCGACTTCCAAGGGTTTCTTCGTGTTCCTCGTTTCACCCCAGAAAGTAAAGGTTTCCTCTTGGCATTTTCGGAGGAAATTTGTAGGACACCCAAGGCCACTAAGAGACAGCCTCCTTGGCAAGGGCAGGCACCACTTTGTAGCAACTTGGGCACCAGCTTTTCTGGACAGCCTGGCTTCTTACTGGGATTGTCCAACTCATCCCTTCTTGAAGCGTGTCTTTGCCATGGACTGTGTCCTTCCAGGGAAATCGTGGTCTCGGGCCTGGGTGACACAATGAAGTGACTTCCAACCGACATTGCTAGAATTCACAGGGCAGAAAAGGGGTTGACCTTCTCCCTTTCCAGCTTTCCACCCAGCCTGCTGTTTGCTGTCTCCACCCATGTCTCCTCCACATGTGGTCCACACATCAGTAGGAGCCTGGTGATGTGTGAAGACACAGCAAGGGGCAAGCAGACTCATGGCCACGTGTTTCCAGTGGCTGGACCACGCCGACACCTGGGATCTTGAGGTACCCAGGAAGGGAGGCTGTCTGGCCGGCCTCTCCCCACCTCCCCTTGCAACACGTCCAGCTCATCCTCCCTCTTTTTTAAAGTCACGTTTCCATGTTTCAACATTAGTTTGCATTCACCTTTACAAAGGCCTTTCTTTAGATCTGTGCAGCCTTTGCGTGCCAAACTTGTGAAATTCCTTTTACCTTTTTTGGAGTACTTGCTACAAAGCCACCTGTCCACAAACCCCCGTTACGTACAGAATAGGACCTGTCCAGTAGCCAGGCCCGTAGGCAGTTGGGGAAGGTGGGAAGGATCCAGCGAGGCCCCTGAGCCCGCACCTGGACAGGTGTACGTCTGCACCCATCACCCCCAGCACCAGGCCACCTGCAGTGCAGTCCACGTACTGTACCGTGTTGCGGAAGGATTCGCTAAGTGCTGAAAGTTGCAAGCAGCCTCACGCTGGTCATGTAAACTTTTTTTTTTTTTTTTTTTTTGGGAAATTGAAGCTGTGGAGTGCTGCCCGAAATCTCTAGGAAGGTGGTGGCAAGGGACAGTACTCACACTCTTCTGGTCATGGTCTCTGATCTCCACCTCAAATGACAATAAAAAACCAGTCCAATGAAGACAGTGCTCAGCACTTCAGCCATCAGGACTAATCCATCAGTGACTGGAAAAGAGGCTAGCGCTGAGGCCTGGGCTCCTGGGACCAGAGTCCAGAGGGTGTGAGTGAGGCTGACTTGCCGACGGCCAGCAGGGGATGTCTCTCAGCCGGCAAGGCGGTCCCACAGCTGTCCTCCCACGGCAGCCTCAGGAGGAGGCTGGGTGCCTGTTCTGTGGCAGCTTCAGCCCAGGGATATCAAGCTGTCGAGGAACACCTTTATGAAATGTTGCCAGAGCAGCAACACTTCCCGCTGAGCACAGCCCCGGGAAATCTGGTACCAAGTGAGCAAGGCGGCAGGGTCCACCCAAGCCCGCCATGCGTCTGGCCCACCTGGCTCTGCAGGGGAGGCTGCTACGGCTGCCCACTTCCCAGCACAGTCTGTCGCGCTTGAACCCCTCAGTCCTGTTCCCTTCCTGGCTAATAGGGAGACCCTTCTCAGGCACCCACTGTTCCAACTTGACCCTCCCACCCCCTGCTCCTCCACACACCCCTGCGTCCTGCTAGCCTACCCTGTCAGCTTTTCAATAAACGTGATGCACAAATGTGGACACCTGAGATGGAGATGAACATTTCTTCACTTTGTTCTTTTCCTGAAGTCAAACTCTTATCAAATACTCTAATTATTACCACCCAAGAGAAACAGGAAAAAGGTTTCAATGCTTTTGTTTACTGCGAGTAAGAGCACCTGCATCTGGAAGATGGGCTGGTAAGTTGGTTTGGCTACAGAACAGAAAGAAAACAAAAACAAACCTCGTAGGGGAAGTATTGCACTCAGACACCACCACTTCCTAGAGCCAAATGAGCGATCCCGAACTGGAAGTGCCATAAGCGGGCCTGCGACATCATACCGCCTGGCCCCAGGTATCGCATGTCCTCTTGTCTAGAAGGCACCACCTCACTTTCGTGTACCGTGTGTTTTGGAAAATCAGTATGGTGTGTCATGTCTAGTGGCGAACACTTCCCTCCCTCTGTCCTTGAGGTTGTAATATAAAACCCGTGTTTCTGTACGTGTGGGTGGGGCTTCTCTGACGGTGCTCGTTCATAGCACAAGCTTACACTGAGTTCTGAACTCGTTCACAGCTGCGTGTCTGCATGGTGTCGCATCTGTTGTACCTTTGGGGAAAATTTGTATGTAAATGTACAGAAATAAAAATGTTGCCCCATTAACAGATTTCCTCTGGAATGTCTTCCCTACCTCACCTGATGGTATCCAACAAAGGGCATTTCACTACCATTAACGATGAGTAATAAAATCCTCTGTGTTCATTCAGACCTCGCTGCGTCACTACTTTTCATGCCTCTGTAAGCTGTGTCTGCACTCGCCCCGAGGTGGGTGGAGGGAGGCCTCTCACTCTGCTTCGGGTCCTGGTCTTAAAGGTAGTCAGAGGCAGAGGCTGGATTAAACACAAACTGTTTACCAAGTGCCACTCTCAGACCACCTGGGAGATGGGGGCCATCAGTAAAATTAAGAGGAATTTTTTTCCCTTGTTCGTTTATGTTCTGCTGATCCATGGCCTGAAGGTTCCTAGAGACGTCAAGAAATGAGTATCTTACACTGTGATTCTGTGAGGAAAGACTGGTAACCCAAAACTCTCTTCTCTAATGTAGTATTTTTTAATGAAAATGACAATATTTCTTTAATAAAGTATTTATACCAAACTCTTCTCTCCATAGCCCTGATTTTGTGTCACTCGCTATTATATTCCTAGAGGTGTCCACTCAGCTTTGCAAGCTGTGATGAGGCTGGCCGGGGCCTTGAGGTTAGCACGGAAAGTCTGCAAAGGAGGGAAGCACCTGCAACCACAGACTCACTCCTCTGACGCGCCTTTCCATCCTGGCCAGGGTCACCACCTTCACTTGCCTGCTGCCGGCTCAATGCAAGACTTTTGCCTCTGGATGAACAAAAAGGGTTCTGATGGACCCCAAAGGTTAGAAAGTTTTTTGCCAGTGGTCCTCAATCTTGCCTGCACAGAGGTACCAGGGGAGCTTGCAATCCTGCCAAAGCCTGGGCCCCAGACCATCTGAACCTCTGGAGAAGGCCCAAGACTGCAACCCACTTCAAGCGGTAGCATTAAAGATTAAAGGCTAAGGAGTACAAATGACCAAAGCAGGTACCTGAGGTACTCTGGATTTGAGATAGAAGAGAGGGGAGAAGGGAAGATGATGAAATAACAGGAAGAGCAAGAAGGACCTGAAGCCTTTGAATCCATAAAAAGGAAGGAGATAAAACCATAATTGACATCTAACTGCCATGGTACTTATAGTTTGCAAAGCATTGCTATCTACCTACTTAATCCTAACAAGAACCTATCAAGGTGGGGATTACTCCAACTTTATAAATGAGGAGACAGAGCCTAGAAGTCAGACTTCACAAGACCACAAATGTAGTAATGGGGCAATGTAGGGAGGTGCTCAAATGTAGGCCCAAGAGAGAACACAGCACAAAAGGAGTGCCCAGAGGAAGGGTTTAGGGAGAACACAGCAAGAAGAGAAGTGCCCTGGGGTTTCACTGCAATGAGAAGGAGATAAATGCATCAATTCACAAGACAGAATTCTGAGGAATGCACACACAAACCTAAAGCATATTTACACATCACTTTAATTCTAACTGAGGATGCACATGAGACAGTCATGTCTGACTGAAACCCTTAGATTAGATTACAGCCTTCAATCCCAACAGAAATCCCATTTCGTCCCTCTATCACTCACAGCCAAATGAGGAAGTGTGTACTGTCCACTTTGCCTCTCCTTCACCAGGTGGGTCAGTGTGAGCCTTTTGGTCCACACACTGCTGAGAAGGAAGCTCAAAAGATTAACCCCTTAAAAACAAAACGGGAACGCGGCCTGACGACAAACTGAAATTCAATCCATTTATTTACATGTACATTGTACATAAGTTAACAAATTCTCACTTCTGCCACTCAGCTAGAACTTTTCGGGGAAAGCCTCCATCTCTTCCTTGATCCTGTTTTCTACAAGTAATGCGAAGTTACTGTCTGTGTTTTGAAGGTTATAGCTGACAAACACCTGTTTGTTGGTCTTCCTGGCTAAAAAGAGAAAACACATTGATACAGCCACTCCTGAAATACAGCAGACCCCGTGTTCCTCACACCCACAAGCCGCTGGGAAATGCTCAGAAAGAGGATGGGGTTGTAGGGAGAGAATAAAGCTCTGTTCGCGCCTCTCTTCAGACAGGTGCTGCAAAGGCAGACGAGTCACTCAGGCCTCTCCCAGTCTCTCCACCAGACCGGAGTTCCGAAGGGCAGGCCCCACCTCAGCAGCCTCCCTGGAACTTGTTCGAGAGGCAGCTCCTGGGCCCCACCCAGCCGTCCTGACCCAGAAAGCCAGGAATGGGGGCCAGCTGTCTGCGGGAACAGCCCTGCACCTGCCTGCACTGCTTAAGAACCTCTGCTCTGCACAGAGGCGTTTCTGGTGTTCTGATTTTTTTAAAAAATTTTTTTAAACACAAAAAATAAAGTATTTAAAATAAGGCCAGGCGCGGTGGCTCAAGCCTGTAATCCCAGCACTTTGGGAGGCCAAGACGGGCGGATCACGAGGTCAGGAGATCGAGACTATCCTGGCCAACACAGTGAAACCTCGTCTCTACTAAAAAAATACAAAAAAAAAAAAACTAGCCGGGCAAGGTGGCGGGCGCCTGTAGTCCCAGCTACTCAGGAGGCTGAGGCAGGAGAATGGTGTGAACCCGGGAGGCGGAGCTTGCAGTGAGCTGAGATCCGGCCACTGCACTCCAGCCTGGGCCACAGAGCGAGACTCCGTCTCAAAAAAACAAAACAAAACAAAACAAAACAAAAAGTATTTAAAATATTAAAGTTCTCCTTCAGCACCACCCCACCCCTAACCAGTTCCACCTCCCTCCCTCCTACATTTCCATGCATTTGCATACATGTGTACACACACAAACATATTCACGTGTGTGTGTGCGCGCGCGCATATACAGATAGGCATATATATGGACAGACATGTAATTTTCTACTGAATGTAAGTTTTAGTCCCTTTCTACAGAATCGGTAATAAATGGTTGAGGTGCGCACTGGGTCAACTGCAAAAATCAAGTAGAGTCACATACCCGGCAGCTAAAAGCCGATATCCTGAAAACAAGTGGGCAAGAAGGCTACGGCAGTTCCATGCTGCCTGCCCCACTGCGGGGCCTCCTTTAGCCTCACCCACACGCAGGGCCAGTGCAGAACTACTCACCCCTGGAGAGGCACTGACCCGCCCCCACCTCAACATACGGTGACCATGTCCTGAGCCTCATCACCAAAAGGCTGAAAGGTGGTGCGGTGAGGCTGAGGGGCACCAGGCCACCCGCACCATTACTAAAGCCCGACTTAGAACACACGTCACAGGATCTCACCTGGGCGGCAATTCTGTCCTTTCCGTTGCTGCTGTCTGAGCTACGGTCCCACCAAGAACCCTGAGAGGCAGTGTGGCTCGGGGGCACAGGCACAGGCACAGGCCCCACTGAGGCCTAGAAACCTCTTCCAGCTTCGTTTGTAAATTGAGAAAGGGTAGAGCCCAGGACCCCAAAGGCCTGTTTTCAGCTGTATAAGGCTGTGTGATCTTTAGGGCTGGAAGGGTCTTGGGTATTATTTAACTGACTGTCCTTACAAGGCAGCCAACGCACCTATAAGAAAGCAAGACGACGAGCACAGCCTCCACCTGAGGACAGCTGCTGAATTGTATGGTGCGTGTTTACATCTCGGGAAATCTTTTTCTAATTAAAAAAAAGGAATGTGTCTGGACAAAGGCAGCTGTTAGGTTATTCCAAGAGCCGGTGTTTAAAGAACAGCTTTTACAGTACTTAGCAGAGAGCCTCCCACCAGCGTGCTGGGTGCAGGGTGCCCCCGAGGCAGACAGCTGTGCCCAGTTATCTGCTCAACCCTGTGGGGGGTGAGGAAGCCTCTTACGCTTCCCCGACCACGAGGGACCAAACTCATCCTTTCCTAGCTGCGTTAGGCAGGCTGGGACCACTCATGCAGAGGGTGATATGAAGGCAGGCAGTGTGGTAGGAAGCTGGGGCTCACCAAGGCTGGCCAGGAGGAACCCAGAAGTCACACCCTCTCCCAGGGGCAGGAACATCCCCTTTACCCCAAGGAAGCCCCCTGGGATTCCAACTGCTCTAAGTGCAGCGATAGGACTTCCGGGGAACAAAGCTGTGTCCGGAGGCACTGTCCCCCTCAGACCCAAGCTGTGCCCTCCAGAGCCATAGGAGGTTGGGTCCCCTTGGCCACACCAACTCCTGCGACGCTTCCAGAGCTACTGAGAACCCCCCAGGCCTTCTCTTTCCCTACTTGCTTTCATCTCTCATATAAGATGCTGATTCAGGACACCTCTCCCTTTTCATTTTAGTGCATTAATAGTGCACTTTCAACTTTAGGGCCCAGACCCAGGCTGGAGACAACTGGCACAGCACAGGATTTTGTTGGAAAACCCCTTCTTGGTCTGAGCTCTGCAGCACCAGTCCCTTCAGAGATGCTGGAAGTCACAGCATACCCTTGACTTGTCAAGATACTGAGAACCCCTCTTTTTTTGCATATAGATACTAGGCCTCCATCTCATAGATATTCTGGAGCCGAATTTACCTTATTGATCTAAAAGTTATTCACGGCCTGCAAGACACGCTCACATCACCTTCTCTATTGGAGTGTGCCTTGGCAATCCCACCCAGCTTTCTGTCTGTATAAATATGAATACCTTCCTGTGCCTTCTCCCACCAGGCACGGGCACACAGTAACCTGTTCCACATAAGTGTGCTACCCCTTACCTAGTCACAAACACAAAGTGACACAGAGACACAAAAGGGGGCTTTTACCTTCATGTGGCTCAGAAAAAAAAGATGTAAACACAAAGAGGGAAGGATGGCAAGTGGGAAATCGGGGCGAAAGCTAAGCAGGAATTCTATCTTCTTTGCAACTTTTCTGTGAATTTTAAATTATTTCCTAGTTAAAAATTACCAAAGTAACTTACAAGTCAGGTCTCTACCTCCAAGGGAGAGAAAAAGAATCCTGCGAGTTCCTGAAACCCTGACCTGTGCCCTCCCTGACCTCTGTCCTAACCACACACTGCCGTGGGCCTGCTGGTGACACTCCACCCTGCCCTGCCTTGCCCCTGGGCCACGTGCCCCGCTGTTCGTGTGCATGTGCCTCAGTGTGACTGACCCAGAGGTTCCTGCTTGTCAGGGACCAGGTCCTTCTCTGCCTGAGACACAGAGAGGCTCCGTGACTAACTCCAGAGCTGAAGCAGCTGGGCCTGCTGGAGAACGCCTGACAGGCATCCCGTGCACACCAGCCACAGGCACTGGGGCTGGGGTTGGGGGTCATAGAGCACATGGAATCCTTACCTGGCCCACAGGAAATATGTGTTGGGGTGTGGGAGGCGTGGAGCCTTCAATCTCATGACCTTTGCTGAATCCCCACTCTACGCCACACTCACAGGCCAGGCCAGTCTTCCCTCTGAGCCCTGAAGAGCATCACACTGTGAGTGAAGGACAGTCCTTCCTGCACAGAGGTGACACCTGCTCTACCAGCTGCACTGACTCCTCCAAAGGCCCAGGAGGCTACCTTGAGCCACTGGCCATAGGGGCTGTAGGCACTTCTCACTCTCTTCTCCCAGAAGGAGGTGATGCACTTACAGAAGGGAACTAAATCAGCTCATGGACTCAAGGACACAACCAAGGACAAGGTGGGAGTCCTTTGGGAACAGGCCGGCCCTGGGACGGTGGTGGTGACAGGCAAGCATGGATGTGCCCTTTAAAGAAGACCCCACGTGCAAAGGTCTGTGCTTCCCAGCAGCAATGAGGTGACGGTTCTTAGCATAAAGATTCTTTACTTCCAAAGGGACTTGCTTCATACTTCCATTAAAGAGTGGGGCTCCCGCCTGGCTGGCCATGCAGCACCAGCTGTGGGTACGTACCTAGGCGCTGGGCAAGGCCAGTAGAGGTCGTGTCGGAAGTGTCTCCGAGGAGGGAGGTAGACACGGGGATGGAGTCCTAAAAGAAAAGCAAAGGGCACACTGCGGCTTCTCCACCCACCGCAGGCCACACTTCTGGCTGCGGGGCTTCTGATCCTTCACGAGGATGGCAGTGGCAGGGTCTGAGAGGACAGACGCAGGTGCCGAGGGAAAGAGGGGGTGGCATTCATCAACAACCAAGTAGGTGGACCCCATGTCACATATGAGGTCGGTAGAGCTGGGAAAGATGAAGTTGGAACCACAGTGCTGTTAATAAGTTCTAGGACCAGTTTCACACGAAGGCTCGTTTTAGTGTCTGAAACTCCAAAGCATGCTGAAAGGCAACATTACAACCAAAAGGGAAGCAAACAAGATCATGAAGGCCACAGCAAGAAGCAAGTGACTCACAGTCTGGGCACCTGTGCCCCAGTGCCTCGTGCCCCACAGCTGGCTCAGAGGCAGGACGCCTAATCTCCCCATCTCAGCCTGTGAGGCGGCGTGCTGCTCCAGCCCCTGCGGGCTCCTCGGGGTCGGCGAGTGCCCTGTGACTTTGAGAAAGGGCACCAGCCACCAGCATCCAAACAGGGAGCATAACAACGTCTGAACATGCTTGGCCAACCTCATTTCGGACCAGAAGCAATAAGGTGAAACAAGCAGTACAAATGATGCTCAGATCAACAAATGGGCCCTTCGGAGATGTAGGCGTAACCTGCTCCCAACGACTTGGGGAGTAAAATCTCACCATGAAAAATGTCTAGCTAGTCCCGTAATCCCAGCACTTTGGGAGCCTGTGGGGGGAGGACTGCTTGAGACCAGGAGTTGGAGACTCACCTAGGCAATGAAGTGAGACCCTGTCTCTACATTTTTATTCAAAAAAAAAAGTAAAGTAAAAAGGTCTAGCTTAAAAAAAAAAAAAAAAAAAAACTTATTGGTAATATGGCCAAATTGCTTTTATAAAACTAGCAGATTTCGAGGAGAAGCGGCCTGGCTACAGAGGTCTGAGAATCTCGGGAAGTGGCAACATTTACAGAGGTACAGAGACTTTGGGGTTTGGTCCCCCTGCCGCCAACTGTCCTAGCGGGGACAAGTGAACTGAACAAACAGCTACTACGTGCCGGACAGCATGGCAGGGCACAGAGCACAGGCGCTGCTCATCTCCTAAAGGTTCAAAGCCACTTCCACAAAAGACAGTAAAAGGCAGGAGATCAAAAAACATAGGAGAAGAATGAAAGCGTTTACTGTATGCTTTTCATTAAAAATGATACAAAAATATCATCTTACTGAGCCTGCTGTTTACAGATTCCTCAAGTTCAACATTTAGCTGCATGGTAACAGTATTTACAGTTAAACCTTCTAGAAAACAGAAAATCTACCTTAGCTAGGGTGGCCTTTTTCTACCAAAAGTAAAACGTAAAGCCCCATTGTGTTACTCTTAAGAGTTCATAACTTTTAAAACCACACTAGGACTGTGGTCTCCCAGCAGATGCATGCCCAGAGAGTTTTCCTGCAGCTGAAGCACCACCTTCCACTCCTAGAAGCCAGCTGGGGGGCCCAAGAATCCCTGAGCAGGCAGGGGCCCAGGTCCCAGGCCAGCTTCCCTCAAGCTGGTAGGACTCAGTGTCACTAGCCCTGCAGGCTCTCTGGGCACCAAAAATCCCTGCTGAACTCAAGGTCGGCCAGCTCGGGGTGCATGGTGTCTGTTCTCTACAGTCTGACACGTGGGGGTTTAGGGAAGCAGGAGTGAGGAGAGCTCACAGACTGGTGCCAGTCTCCACGCGTGGGCTGGCAAAACTCCCGACAGGGACCAGACAATAACTAGTTCAGGCTTTATGGGTTACAAAGTCTCTATTACAACCGCTCAGCCCTGCCACCAAAGTACAAGAGCTCCACAGACTCTACCTGCGTGGACGGGAGATGGAAGGCCAGCCCACGGGTCACAGGAACCTTGGGCTTCCTGCCTTAAGCTATGGCCTGCACCTCTTTTCCCCGGCTGGCTCAGCCCTCTGCCCCTGGAAGGAACATCCAGGCACACTGTGGCCAGGGAGTGGGACTGGACTTCCGACAGGTCAGGTCACTCAGTCGGTCCCCTGTTCCTTCTCCTGCCTGGCCTTGCTGGAGGCGCACTTTCCAGATGAGAAAACACACCCCACTGGGAGCTGTGACCACCATGGGACTGGGTGCCCAAAGCCACCCACAGGACGAGCCTACTTCTTCCACACTCACTAGCCCAAACCAGCACTGCACAAAGGGGCACAAGGCAGTGACACCAGAGCTGACCAGTGCCCAAAGCCTTGCCCACTATGACCAAAGCCTTGGGATAAGGAAAGAATGCGAGGTGGCACAGAGCACACAGCCCCACCCGTCACCCCTGGTCCCCCAGGCCTCTTCTGCTGCCGCGTGCTCAAAGGCCCACTGTCAGGACCCTCCAGAAAAGAAAAAAATAAAAAAGGAAACACCGAGGGAAAAAAAAGCAAGAAAGGAATCCAGATGCCATCTCCTTCCTGAGGTCTTTCCCGGTGCTGTTGTGCACAGGGAAAGGGCTCGCCCAGGACTTCCCGCCCCCAGCACCCTCAGTCATCACTGCCTCACTGGCTTCAGAAGAGTCTCACTGACGGGGCCTCACTCATTCATTCCACAGGGACTTAGAGAGTGGTGCATCAGGAGCTCGAGATACACACGCTCACCCTGGGCAAGCAGACAAACCTCACCGTGAAACACTCAACGGCTGAGAGAGGGAGCTAACGCAGCTGGGAGACCAGCATTGCCAAGCTGGAGGACAGGGAGGAGCCGTAAGAGGTAACAGAGCCTGAAGGTCACCGGAGTCTTTGGGTGCTCTGAGTTAACCTCGTGAAAAGTTTTGAGCAGAGAAATGAAAATATCCAACTTAAGTTCTTAAAACTATCATTCTGTTGCGCTGGTTACAAGGCAGTGTTGTGGCTCGAATTGTGTCCCCGCAAAAAATACGTTGAAGTCCTAACCTCTGGGTACCTGTGAATGTGACCTTGTTTGGAAACGGGGTCTCTGCAGATGTAATTAAGATGTAATTTAGGCCGGGCACGGGTGGATCACGCCTGTAATCCCAGCACTTTAGGATAAAGATTAGCATAAAGATTCTTTACTTCCAGAGGGACTTGCTTCCCTTTGGGAGGCAGAGGCAGGCAGATCATGAGGTCAGAAGTTCGAGATCAGCCTGGCCAACATAATGAAACCTCAGCTCCACTAAAAATACAAAAATTAACCCGGCGTGATGGCTCGCACCCGTAATCCCAGCTACTCAGGAGGCTGAGGCAGAACTGCTTGAACCCAGGAGGCAGAGGTTGCAGTGAGCCGAGACCACGCCATTGCACTCCAGCCTGGATGACAGAGCAAGCCTTCATCTCAAAAAAAAAAAAAAAAAAAAAAAAGATGTAATTTAAGACAAGGTTATACTGGAGTAGGGTGGGCCCTTAATCCAACATTACTGATGTCCTTATGAGAAAAGAGTCGGGCTCACTTTGGGAGACTGAATAAGGAGGATCATCACTTGAGGCCAGGAGTTCAAGAACAGCCTGGGCAAAATAGTGAGACCCCCATCTCTACAAAAAAGACAATTAGCCAGGTACGGTGGCACATGTCTAGTCCTAGCAACTCAGGAGGCTGAGGAAGGAGGATCACTTGAGCCCAGGAGTTTGAGGTGACAGTGAGCTCTAAGAATGCCACTGTACCCCAGCCTGGGTGACAGAGAGAGACCTTGTCTACAGAACTTTTGAGAATAAACCTCTGTTGTTTTAAGCCACGCGGTCTGTGGCACTTTCTTACAGCAGCCTCAGGAAACCAGGGGAAATCCAGGCGGCGACGCGCAAAGCCAGAAAGGCGGGAGAGGAGGGGAAATGGTTAATGTCCCAGGCTTGGCCCGGCGTGGCAGGGTGAAGGAGGTGAGGGCGGCTTGGGTTTTGTCTGCTGTGACTGGCGGCAGTGCCTAGGGACTCAACGCGTGGAGAGCTGAGAAAGAGGAGTGTGAAGAAAGAGGAATCCAAGACGACTGCGAGGCTCCGAGCACACAGCCAGGAGGACGGAGCTGCCATTCCAGCGCCGGGCAGGCGGAGGAGGGGGCAGGCTTGGGGAGAGGGCCTGATGTATGCCCTAAGAGGGCCTAGTGCGAAATGCCTGAGACAGCAGGTGGAGACGCAGGAGTCCCCAAAATATGATCAGTGTGCTCAAAATCCACACGGCACGAGAGCTTCGAGGTAGACGCGTCCCCCAGCGCGCGTGTGGCGAGGAGGGGCCCAGGACATTCCGACCTACAGAGACCAGGGCGGGACGCAGCTGCGGGCGGCGGGGCAGGGAGAGGGGCTCGGGGCCCGCGCGCAGCTCCCGGGTGGTGCAGGCCCGGGCGCCCGGGGGTTCCCAAAGACACCCCGCGGGAGGGCTTCGGGGGAGTCGGGCGCCCCGTGGACCCAAGAGAGGCCTGGGGGGCGGCAGCTCGCGCAGGCCCCGCGCCCCCGCCCCGCCCCGCCGCCCGCACCCGCCCGGCACTCACGTAGCGGCTGCACATGGCCACGGCCAGGTTGCGCAGGTGCGGCGTGGCCCCCACCCACAGGAACAGCGAGTCCGTCAGCCGCATGACGTGGAAGTGGACCAGCTGCTCCCACAGCCTGGCGCTGAAGTTGTGCAGGGAGACGTCCCCGCCGGCGGCGGCAACCAGCCCCTCCATGCCGCCCCACGGCTCCCGGCGCTGCACCCGGGTCCTCGCCGCTGCCGGCCCAGCCAGACCCGATGGAGCGAGCACCGAGACACCGAACGCGCTTCCGCTTTCGGCCCCGGAGGGGCGGGGATGAGGGGCGTGGTCGGGGAGGGGCGGGGTGAGGGGCGTGATCGGGGAGGGGCGGGGTGAGGGGCGTGGTCGGGGAGGGGCAATCCGGGCTTGGGTTGGGGGCGTGGTCGAGGCGGGGCGGCTGCCGGCCCTGGGCGGAGTACTTGTCCCGGGTGGTCCTGCCGGCCTCTCCCGCGCTGCAGCACCTCTCTAGACTGGGAAAACCCACTTTAGTCGCAGAGTCCGACAGTGACCTCTAGGAGCCCACGGGCGCCCGGCAGAACTCGCCCTCGCTTTGTTTCCTTCCACACCCTAATTATTATTGACGTGGGGCATTCAAGGGCTGAAGCCAGCGGCACGGTCCTCCCAGGCCGTGACACTTCGCCCGACAGACTTTCACTTTTAATTAGTTCTTTAAGCACTCTGAAAACGGCCACCTTCCGTCCCACCTCCTCCTCCTAGCAGCCCTTTAACTCCAGGGAGGCTTCGACTGCACCTAGCCCTAATTAAGAATGGCAACGGTACTGGGAGAAAGCCTTTAGAAAGGAAAATTGTGTCAACTAAGTTGGCAGGAGGGTGAGCAGGCACCCTTTTGGACGCCGAGCCCCGAGCTGCAGTCATGTACATGGCCTCGGGCTACCCCTTTAACCTCTCTGAGACTCAGTTTCCTCATCTGCAAAATGCAAATAAGAACAGGAGCCTTTCCGAGACGTGGAAAGGATGGCAAGAGAGTTTCATGGGAAGCACCATGAATCATCCCATTGTCATACCTATGGAGAGACCCCCAGTAACGAAGGCTTCAATGGGTTAAGAGAGAAGGTGGTAAAAGAAAACAGCCCATTTTGTCAGATTCTGTTACAACTGACTTTAGGGATTTAACTTGGAACTATCAAAGGTCTGCTTTTTAAACCTCTAATAGATCTAATTGAAATTTAAAAGGACATTTTCCATAGTTTCGTTCTATTCACTAATTATCGATGATTCAATAATACAGTTAATTTTCAGGTCAATATTTTAACAGCTTTATTAAAATGTGATTAACATACAATAACTGCACGCATACAAAGTGTACAAACTGAAGTCCTGACACGTTATAACCAGTGAAATCATCATCACAATCCACAGACTGGACGCATCCAGTACCCCTCCTGCCCTCTGTAATCACTCCTGCCCCCAACCACTGATCTGCTTCTGGCCACATAGATTAGCTTGCATTTTCCGGAGTTTTATATCAGTGGAATCACACAGTAAGTACTGTTTTTTGTCCGGCTTCTTTCCTTCATCATAATTATCTTGGGTTCATCTGCGTGCGTGTCAATAGCTTGTGTCCTTGTATTGCTTAGCGGTGTTCCATTGTATGGCTATCCATGGTTGTTTATCCCTTTACATTGTGATCTGAGAGACCAAAACAGATGGCTCTTCATCAGCTAGGAGGACCCAAAGATTAAGGAAACAAAGTTACCTACTGGTGGAGAGTTCGAAGCCTGGCTGGCATGGCAAATTTCTAAATCTGGATTGTAAGGATGGTTTCACTGGCTATACATGTGTCAAAACTTCAGTGCTCCGCTCTCTCTCCAGCTTTGCTCTGTCACTGCTGGGGAAACACACAGGAGAGGGTCACAGCCAGTCATGCCCAACATCAGCGGCCCTGGCACACTGCCCTGCAGTCGCGGGACAGCGTCCTCTCTCACTCCCCTTGACTATGCCCCCCAGGCTGCGGGACAGCGTCCTCTCTCACTCCCCTTGACTATGCCCCCCAGGCTCCGAGCTGACCCAAACCCAGGTTGAGCAGACGCCCTTGCTTCTGATGGTATGAAGAAAATAGAGATGACAAGGCCGGATCTTCCCAGCCCCTGGTCCCTCTCCTAAAACGCTTGTCTTCATTGGACCCTATCTTTCCTCCTGCTCTCTCTGTGATGGTGAAAGATAAAGACATCCCTCCTTGCACTGAAGGTCAATCCATCCACCTGTGCTTTGACCCTGTCCTTTCATGTCCTCAAGAACCTCCCTCATTATCTGTGATGGCGTCTCCAAAGAGCCTGCGTGTGCCACCTAGGTCCACTTCAAGAAAGGACTTGTCCCAACTGCTAGAAATCCTACCTTCTGCCATGGCCTCCTTCAGAGCCTGCACACCCTCCCCAGGGCAGCCCATATCCAGTAACTGATGAGGCAGAGTATGAAAGCCAGGCCAGTTTGGCCCAGTGCAGGTCAACTCACAACTCTGAGGGGCCATTTTGGCTCTGGAGTGCCCATGGAGTCAGCCAAGCCTGCATACTGCAAGGGCGGTATTTACCTTACACCATCAAAAGAAATCAAGGATGGATGGTCAAGTGGCTGAATGTAGTCACCCCCCAAAAATATTATGATGCCTTGCTCAGTTCCTGGGCCTGGAACCCAACAATTAGAGAGGTGACCAGGTCCCCTGCACCACCATGTGCCATAACAACTGCCCCAGCCATTCCCTCAATGACCAACTGAGTGGCTGGCCACACATCAGAGAAAGAGGAAGATGCAAACATTTCAAGGGTTAGAGCTGGATTGAGATCCAGGGGCCTGAAGTGTCATCACAGTCCCTCTTTCGAGTGGGCAACCATCCATACAGGAACAAAAAATAAATGGAGTCCCAGCCAAAGGTCCACTGGGTCTGTGGACACGTCAGGGGTCATTTATCTGGTCCTCAAATATATAATTGGGATATATATACCTAGAGATTGGCCCAGCACCCACATTGGATCTGTGGCCTATAGGGTTTAGGAGCTATCATAGTGGAGAAAGCCAAATGGAAGCTTCTAAAATTATGGCCCTTCCCCCCAGCCAAGCAAGCAAGTCAAAAACAGTATTGCATCCTGGGGTGAAAATCAGTGCCACTCTTCAGGAGCCAAAAGATGCAGTGGTGGTAGACTTTGTGTCTCTATTTAATTCAGCAGTCAAGTCCCGGAAGATTGCAACTGACTTCCATAAACCCAACTAAGAAGCAATCCCAATTATGGCTGCCACAGCGGATGTGGGATCTTTGCTAGAGTGGTGTGATAAGGCCTCAGGTACGTGGTATGTGGCCAAGGATGCAGCAAATGCGTTCTTTTCTATCCCAATCAGAAAAGAGGAAGAGAAACAGTTTGCATTCCCGTGAGATGGACAATATTCATTTACAGTTTTGCCCACGATTCTGTCAAATCTCTGCCCTCTGTCTGAAAAGATTGGGACTGTCTGGACATTCCACGGAATATTACATTGGTGCATTTGCCATTGCCACCTCTGTTTTATCAGTGCCCCTTCTTCAGTTCATGCTCTTGGCCACATGGGGGATCTCATAGGAATCGCTTAAGGTTCTTGGATGGGTCAGTGTGTGGGCGCAAGCTACAAATGGATTGACAGTTGCACTATGGCCTCACTCAGGCAGTGGGTCTGGATATCCATTTCATGTGGACAGAGCAGTGGCCCAAGGTTGAAGTCTATACAGACTCATGGGCAGTGGGGAATGACCTGGCTGGGCTGGTCAGGGACCTTTGGGGAGAAAGACTGGAAGATAAAAGGGAAAGAGGTCTGGGAAGGGGCAGTGGATGGAGTGTCCAGAAGTGTGAAAATGCTTGTGTCATGTTATCACTCAGCAAACAACATCCACCACAGAAGAGAGATTAAGCAACTACGTAGACAGAATGACTGGGCCAGTTGCTGTTAGTCAGTCTCATCTGCCACTGTCCCAGGATGGGCACGATGGGCCCGTAAACAAAACAGCCATGGTGGCAGAGATCATGCGTGAACCCAACAGCAGGTTGGTGGAATTCTGCTCACCAGGGTTGATTTTACTCCTGCTGCCACCAAACATCCTAACTACCACCAGCAGAGAGCTCAGCTAAGGCTTCAGTATGGTCCTACTCCTCAAAGAGAATGACCGAGCACGTGGCAGGAATTTGGTGACGTTGGGCTCCTTCTACCCAGAGGAGTCAGCAATGTTCTTACAGGAATAGAAGCACATTCCAGGAGTGAGTTTGTTTTTCCTGTCCACAGGGCATCAGATAGCGCCCTTCTCCCAGGGCTGCCACATGGAAGTGGGTGAAGGCCGTGGGATCCATGGCCACATCACATGCTCCACACCACTCAGAGGCTGCTGCCCACTGAGGGCATGGCTGAAGCACCAGCTCAGAGATGGTAACTATAAGGATGGGGAGTCATCCTCCAGCCTCTTGTATGTCCCCTGAATTAAAGTATTTTCTAAGGTGCTGTGTCCCCAGTGAAAAGACCACATGAATCAGGGAACCGAGGAGTGGAAGCAGGAATGGCCGTCACTTCCACAGTCCACTGAGGACACTGGGCTTCCTGAACCTGCACCTGTGGACTGCGGGATTAGAAGCCCCATTTCCCGAGGGGAGAATACTTCCACCTGGGACACAGCAAGGGCCCCACTAAGCAGTAAGCCATGGCTGCTGCAGGGCACTCTGGGCTCCTTGGTGAGCTGAAAACAGTCACCATCCTGGCAGGGGAGATCCACCCTGGTCATCAGGAGGAGGAGGGCTGTTGACACCCTGTGGGAGGAGCAAGGAAGGTGTTTGGTAACCAGCTGAGCTACTTGGGTGCTGCAGGGGACTCCCTCGCCCAACTGTGACAGTAAATGGAGGAAACAGCAACTCCAGCCTAGGAAGGGCAGATCCCCTTGTCAGGGAAGAATTGTCACCCAGCTCCTGGGGGCACAGGGCCCTCGAGTGTCATTCCCCGTAGGGATTTCTTCAGCTACTGAGAACTGCCTTGTCCAAGGTCCTTCCTGTGGGGACTTTCTGATGAAGACAATGGATAAAAGACATGGCCACTGGAGCCCAATGTGCATGGTCAATTCTGACAGCCATTTTCGCCCTTTCTGGCTGATTTTGTTCCTCACCTAATCTCTAAAGTGTGAATCTGTGGCCAGCATTGCTCTCAGAGCCACAGGCACACCCAGCCGCCTGCAGGCGTTCCCACCTGACTCTTTCACAGCACCAGCCCCTCGGCACAACCACACAGAGCTCCTCCTC